AATTTTAATGTTTATAAACACTTTTTAAATTTACGTAGAATTTCTTAGATTCTGGCAGTTATATTTAATTTTTTGTAGAATTATTTCCGGCAGGGGATAAAGGCGTTTATGCGCAAATGCAAGGCCTAATGCGATTTGTGGAGGTTGAAAATATATACATAAAGTAACTATTAATGTAACTGTTAAATTAGTTACTAGTTATCGAAAAAATGTAACTGAGTTAAGTTACAGTTACAGATGTAGAAAAAGTAACGAAGTTAAGTTAGAGTTACCAAAAAGAAGTAACTGTAACTGTAACTTCGTTACAAGTAACGAGTTACTTCCCAACCCTGATTAAGACCCTACATATTCTTAAGAATCATCTTTAGATACTCCGTAGCCAATAAAAAAAATGATACAGCATCTTAAGACAAACTTAAAGACGGTCTTAAATACAAGATCTAACAATGAATCCTGTACGGGAATTCTCTAACTTGCTATCGAGGTTTTTCGATAACGTTAACTAGGAGCAACCAATGAAAATCTGCGTCTCTTTCGAAGATCGTCCTCGCCATTGGCTGTCGCTAGTTAACGATACCGAAAAGCATCGATTACAAGTTACAGAATTCCCGTACTGGCCCATGTCTCTTCGAGTTGAGAATCTTACTGTAAAGAAGATAATCAGGCAGAGAGACGGATTAACACGTTCGATTAAACAGTAACGTTCAACCGTGTAAATAAACTGTGCTATTTAATTCCGTAATGTACATTTCCTAGCGCTTATATTTGTATTTTATGGTATCCTCATCGTAATACGCGTTGAACTTCCTCCAATCTGGCCTTCGAGAATTCATAATCCGTTTAGTAAATTTGTTCGGCATCAAGCCTGAAAGAAACGGAGCAAGGTGAGCGTCATTTCCAGGAAACTTGTGCCTTCAGCAGCACAATTTCAACGTAATCGGATTCACGCTCGCATACGAACCCGCTCGTTGAGCCATTTGAACCAAGACGCTAACTCTTTTCTGCTGCACGTTGCACAGTCCGGTTATCCTACGTGGCAGCATCGTTCCATTCGATCGCAGGAACTGACTTAGAATAAGGACATCCTGCGAAACAAAGAACCTCGGGTTTAACGACTGGTACAAATCGCTCGCGCAACATAAATTACTTCAATTGCTGGAACTTGTGATTAATCATTGGATTATCCCATAAATAACGCTGCACAAAAGGAGCTCGACTTATTCCTCAACTCAAAGCCGAGAGACTTTTGTCAGCGGGAAATTAAAAGTTTAAGCTCAAGTGGGAGAGAAGTTGTACAAATAATAAAAAATGTATTTTGGATTAAAAGCAAAGTGACAAGATCTTTTTCATTGCCTCAAGAATATCTCTAAAGTCCGGTTTTACATTTTCTGGTTAATTATTAACCAGAGGTTAGTCGATTCTCTGCCTCTTCTCCGATAACACAGAAGAAAGTGGGGAGTCGACTAACTTCTGGTTAACAGTTGGCCAGAAAATGAAAAACCGGGTCTAAAGACCGCAATATTTATGGGACGATACTGTGGTTTAGTAATGGACTGACGGTGTGTTTGACGTCGAGTTCCGTGGCGCAAAGGGGACACGCGTTTGAGTCCAGCTTCACCAATAGATTCTCCTTCTTCTGAGGCACGCGCACGGCCTCGATGGTCAGGACATTATCCTCTTTCTTCTTAATTACTGCGACAAGAAGTTGGAATGTAAATAAACTCGGAGTATAGAGGTTAGGTTAGGTTAAGAGTGGAGTAAAATTTGATATTCCGCTCAGTAAAGCGGCGTTTACCCAGTAACAAACTCACTCTCTCTTAAACGCGCGGTCGCGGACAGCGACACGCTTCTGCTGGGCTCTGAGAAAATCAGACTCTTTCCGAATTGCCTCACGGACCGACACAGTGCCGCCATTTTTCTGCGAGACCAGTCGAGTCCAGTGGTTCTCGATGCCTCGTTTCGTAGCGATAGCCGTCGCGGTAACGAATGTATAAAAAAAATCCGATTAAGTACGTTGAAATTGCTCTGCTGGAGACTATATTTTTTAAAACCACACAGATCGCACTAGGTCTTGCATTTGCACATAAACGCTTTAATCGACACTTAATAATTCAAGCGCAGATTTGATAGTTTAATTTTTATTGCAAGCAAGTAACTGCAAAGTAAGGATTCGTTACTTTTTGAGTAACTGTAACTGCAGAGAGAGACCTGAGAGCGCCCACGCCATTTTTACTTTTGGAACTATTTTACTATGCAACTTCTGACACTGTCAATAAAGTCTCCACTTTGTGCGAGTATGAACTCGCGTAGCATGAGCTACGCCTATTTTTCAGGATTGTGCTGTGAAATTCAAAGTGACGTTAACATAATTAAATTATCTGCATGATATTTACATAAACTTTTCTCACGTAGACAATATAAATTTTATAAATTGGATGTCGGAATGCATAGCACAGACATGCACCAAGTGGCAATTTTATCGGCAGAGTCAGAAAATGCGTAATGAAATAATTCCAAAGGTAAAAATGGGCGTAACAGCGCGCAAAACAGTCTCCCGAAACGGGATCAGGTATAATAAAACGCCGGCGTGGCCGCTCTCAGGTCTCTCTCCGGTAACTGTTAACGCGTTACTTTTCAGAATTGGTAACTTAAGTAACATCTTCAGTTGCATTTTTAGCGAAAAACTGTAAGGGCCAGTTTCACAAACGTCGGTCAACTGTTAACCAGAGTTCAGTCAATTCCCTATGTTTTTCTATTTTGTTATCTAAGAAGAGACAGAGAATCAATTAACCGTCAGTTAGCAGTTAACCGAACTTTGCGAAACTGGCCCCAACTGTAACTAGATACTTTTATAGAGTAATTTTCTCAACCCCGAACGAAAGCAGTCTCGCCAAGAAGGTGCTGACTTCGAAGACCGCGAGAAGCGCGCGCGTGGCCAACTTCAGGCGAGAGGGCGGCGTGTGACGTCACCGCGCTCGGCCAGCCGCGCACTTCACTCCGCTCCCGCCGCGTCCCGTCGTAGTCGTCGTCGTCGCCGCCGCCGCCGCTGCCGCCGCCGCCGCCGCGCGGCCGTAGCGCTCTCGCGGCAGTCGCGGTCGCCTGCGATGAGTTTAGTTTTGAAAACAAAGGGCCGCCCGCCGTTCGCCGTGGTGTGTCGTCGCCGTCGTCGTGGTCGTCACGCGGCTCGCGCCGCGTAGGAAAAGCGGAAGCGCCTGCGACGACCGGGTCGGTCCGCGAGCGCGCGGCGCAACGCGGCAGAGGCCGAGAGAGGAGGATCGCGAACACCGCCGCTCGCGCCGTATCGGAACGAGTCTCGTGCGCGTGTTACGATCCTGTCCTTCCGTCCCTCTTTCGTTCAGCTGTTTACTTCGTACGACCGTCCGTCCACACTTCTCTCTCTTTCTCTCCCTCTCCGCGCCGAGATATTTATCTCGCTTTCTCTCTCCCGGCCGATCCCCGGGCTCCCCGTGGCGACTCTCCCTCGCGCGTCGCGAAACGTGATCGACGCACCGAGGAAAAGGGGGAAAAAAAGCGAGGAACATGGACGCACTTCGGGAGCAGGTGATGATCAATCAGTTTGTGTTGGCCGCTGGCTGTGCCCGGGAGCAGGCGAAGCAGTTGCTGCAGGCAGCGCATTGGCAGTTCGAGGTGAGGAAACGACTTGGACGGAGGGGCGCGCGGGGCCGGGGGTGAAGGAGGAACCCGAGAATATGCGCGTCCCCCGCGCCCTCCCCCTCTCTCCACTCGCTGACCCGTGTGTGTATCGCACGGGCTCCCGCGGTGCGCGCGTAACCAGCCTGGTATCCTCCGCTCGGACGCTCCGCTACGTAAACAAAGCGACGAAAATGGCCGCCGTGTCGTCGCCGCTGCCGCCGCCGCCGCCGCCTCCGCCTCCGCCTCGACCTCGACGCCGCGTGCGATTCCGCGGCTCCGTCCCTCGGCTTCATTCATAAAAATTGCGCCGGACGCGGCGCGTCGCCGAGGACGAGGCCTCGTCCGAGCGGCTCGCCGTCGGCGCGCGCGGCGTCGTTGTGGAACAGCGGCCGCGGGGTCTCGTCCTCGGCGAAGCGCGCGTCGCTCGCGTCTCCGGCGATTGTTTGTTTTCGTCCGGCGATCCGCGCGTCGCGTTGCGCAACGGGGGGGCGGGGCGGGAGGGGGGCATGTCGTCGCGCGTTGCGAGCGACTCGACGACGATCAGGGGTTCCTCGGCGCGGGCTATCGATCGCGGGCCAGTTACGTCGTGCCCGTAGGTCGCCGGGGAATTATTGCGCAATGTTATTGCTCGGAGCGAGAGCACGAAGCGTTCTTCCTCAGCGAGGGGGCGGGGGCGAAGGGTTACGTTCGTCTCTCTCGCCTTTCGGCGCGCACCACGCACGCAAAATCTTGTCCCGATTGACGAGGACGCGGCACGACGGGGGAGGGATCGATAATTGCTATTTGCGGCGAGTCACGTGGTGCGCCGTGTTTACACGCGTCTTCTGCAATCCTGGTGCTACACAGGCTCCGGGGCCGTTACACAATCCCTCCCCCGCGCGATTGTCAGAAGCGGAAACCGGGGGGAGGGGAGGGCCCGACCTGTGCGATTTCGGCGAGTTCCACGCGTCTACGCGAGCGTGTGACTCACCCGCGTGACTTTCCGCGGACAATGGCAGCCTCTCGCCGTGTCGTCGCGTCTTCGGGCGTCTTGAGCGGAACGATTGCCGTAACCATTTGCGATTCCGCCGCGAGACTCGAGCCTGATCTACAATGTGCTCGCTGGGTCTAGAAACATTCTATTTTGTAGGTCGATAAATACGTTTGCAACACTTGTGCAGTTGATAAATTGTATGTTGTACTTTGTACGATCGTACATTGTTGGCAAATTTTTTAATCTGTTTGTTTATATGAAATAGGATGTTTCAAGATGCAGAAGGCACTTTGTGGATTAGGCTTTAGGGTACTATTACATTTGTTGTACGACGAATTCTTTAGGCGCGTTGATTGGCTACAAGCTAGAAAATTTCTAGAGACTCAAGAACTGTTTATTCTGCAGCCGATTGACACGTTCGAAAACTTTGTCATACGACAAATGTAACGCCAGCCTTAAGTCAGTGTCGAAAGTCAACGCGCAAAGAATTGTCGTAGACGTATGTCGTATCCGTCGCGTTGCGTCGCGAGGCGACGCACGACAATTCTTTGTACGTTGACTTCTGACACCGACTTGAGTGTTACGACGGATTCGTAAACGATTACGACAATCTTTCTGCTCAGGCCGTAAGGATTGTATTTGTCGTACGACAAATTTTTTAAGCGCGTTGATTGGCTACAAGCTAGAAAATTTCTAGAGACTCGAGAACTTTTTATTTTGCAGCCGATTGACACATTCGAAAACTTTGTCATACGACAAATGTAACGCCAGCCTTAAGTCGGTGTCGAAAGTCAACGCGCAAAGAATTTTAGACGTATGTCGCATCCCTCGCGTAGTATTGCGAGGCGACACGCGTAGATTCTTTGTGCGTTGACTTCCGACACTGACTTACGTCTTACGACGGGATCGTAAAACGGTTACGGCAATCTTCCTGCCCAGGCCCTTTCCATGCGCGTGTCGGGGAAAATTAAATCCGGCGAATTTATGCCGGTTTTTACGGCGCCGGTCGAAGGCGTGGGAGACCGCGTCGGTCTTTCTCCCGGGGAAAAATTTTGACAGCTCCCAATTAATCGCGCCAAATTACGGCAATTTGTCGCTCGTTCTGAATACGAGGTGTAAGAGGTGGGAAAAACGCAGATTCTGCAGCTGCGCGCGAAAGTCTCTCTAATGAATGCCGCGGAATGAGATTAATCACGTTTTAGGGACGACTGAAAATAGACATAGACATGTGTGTTCTCTTATATGCGCTATCCGTGTACGTTCGGGGGTTGAAACAGCTCTTCGAAATAAATTCGGTGTATTTGATCTTCAATGGGATGCGATTGAGACCCCGCGGGACATGAAAATATGTTTCGAGTAAGTTTCGCGTACTCTTTTTGTACTTTCGTATTTAGGTTTTTCGAAAGTGTCGCATCTTGTTGAAGAATTTTTATTCGGACGAGAGTTGGAGCTTTTTTTTTATTACAACGTGAACTGTGTGTAACGATATTGTTATGTAAGTTAAACAATAAAACTGCCTGTGAAAAGTGAAACTGTATGTAACAATTTTTTCCGAGGTTTTAGTCTGACTAACGACTAACTTTGCTCGCGTTTTGACCTTGTTTCTTTGCGTATAATTTTGTTAAATACATATTACTGGAAAAGAGGCGGAAAGAGAGAAATAAAGTAGAAATTTGAGAAGATCAGACGTACAATTAAGTCTAATCTACAATGTGTTTTTGCGACATTCTATTTTGTATAAGCCGAGGGGTAAACCGAGGGCATTGTGGTGTACAGATTTGCGGCATTACTGGGCATTAATAGGCATTTTTTGGACATTAGTTTGGGCATTATAAGCCCACTGGGCATTAATGGGCATTGGTGTACAAGATTTTGGTCAACGGTTTCCCCCTCGGTATAAGCAAATCAGTACTTGAAACATTTATCGACAATATACAGGGTGAGTTTTTATCTTGAGACAACAAAAAATCTCGAGAACTGCACATCAAATAAAAAAAAATTTCAGACAAAAGTTGTATGGTTTCGAGGGGGCCATAAGACGGTACCATTGGTTTGACCTTAAAGAATTATTTGAAGGTCACATAAAGGTCACACCAATTTTTTTAAATGGCATCCCCTATTTTTTATTACATATTCTTGTAGCTAACCTCGAGAGCTTTCCAAAACGCTATAATAAAGTATTTTTTATTAAGAACTTTTTGAGTTATTAAGGTTTGAAAGTTCCAATATTTTGACGTAAATTACAAAATATCTTGTAAAATA